GAAAGAAGGCTGCCTCTCCTGCTGGTGAGAACGCAGACGTGACCCCTGTACTGGGTTCCCCAGAAGGCACAGGAGAAGGCTCCCGTGATCAGCCTGGCAGCTGCCTGCTCAGAGAAAGCATCTCCTGCTCTCTGCAAGGGGCGTAATGGTTGCAGCACTTGTCTCAAATGAATGAACCAGGTAACACAGAGCCCCTGGGGTGATGGGGATTGTGCAATAGAGCAGGAGGGAGGGACAGTAAAGCCACCCTCAGCCTGCAGGTGGAGCAGCCCAATTCTGGGGGAGGGGACGCTGGACAAATCCTTTTCCTTTACTCTTAAGACTTTCGTTTTCCGTTTGATACTTGCTCCCCCCACTCCCTTCCTGTGCTGTCTTCACAGGACTATTGTGTGGCTGCTTCTTCATGAAGTTGGCAAGCAACACCGTGCTCTCAGGGAAGCAGGTTTGCTGGTGTAGCGGTCTATCTCCTGGGGCCACCCTCCGGAGATAGAAGGACATCTGTCTCACAGGAATTCTCCAGGTCCACTGCCACCTGTGACCCACTCTGAAGTCTCTTGTAGCTTCTACAGCAGAGGGAGCTGGGGCCAGGGAAGGAGGAGAAGTGGGTAGGGAGGTTGTTTCAGCAGAGCTGGAGGGAGGGAGGGAGGGAGCGAGAGAGGGAGGAGAGGATCAGCCAACTGCAGTATCTCACACTAACTTGCTTCTGGACTTCTTAATTAGGAGGCATGTTGTAAACATCTGAAGAATGCTCCTGAATTTATAGGTCAATTTAGCATAACCTTTTAAAGGTATGTTCTTTATAATAAGATCTCCCTAAAAAGAGAAGCTTACTGCTAGAAAGAGAAAAAGAAAAAAAAAAATACTGAAAGCCGGGGATGAGAAATAAGGCCTCAATTTGAGTGTCTGCTATATGCTGGGCTTTCCATGGCAGTTTCCAGAAAACATCTCCAGAACAAAAGGTCTGTTGGCTCTGACCCATTGCATCCAACATAAGAGACCTACAGAACTTGGACTATTACAGCAGAAGAGGGTTTAGGAGCCAAGAATCCCAAGCCTTGGGTTTGCATCTGTATTTTTAATGCTGGTAATTGAGAGGAAAACTGAGGCTCAAAGAAGTTGAGAGACTTGCAGGGGTCCCCCAGGTGGTAAGTAGAACAGACCCATGGTTCTCTGTGGCCTGGAGCCCTGCTCATCAGGCCGCGTGGTCTGCAGACACCCTCAAACCCACCGCAGGCCGCCAGAGGTACAGGGTTTACAACTACAAAGGAATGACAGGGATGAGAGTAGGACGGAGCTTAGGAAGTCACAGGCCACAGAGGCTGCAGGACCTGCCCAAAATATTTGGGAATCAGAGACGCAGCAGCGTCTGGGTACAGCTCCTCCTGGACACAGCCACATTTGGAGCAGTGCCTCTTCTCCATCGCCGCCCTTTGCCCGCTCTCCTTCTCAAAAGTGTGTGATGGGACTGTGTGTGAAACCACATCCAGAGAGGAGCTTGCAGGACTCTGATGCTTAGTATTAAATTAAAACCCCACAGGAGCTATGGGGTTGTGTGAGTCCCCGGTTTCCTAGAGCAGGTTACATGGTAAACTCCTCCCACCATAGGGTGTGTCCACAACCACCTCTAGGACTCACTTGTTTGGGAAAAGGTCCTTGCAGATGTGATTAAGTTAAGACTCTTGAGATGAGGTCATCCTGGATGACCAGGGTGGGCCCTAAGTCCAGTGACGTATGTCCTTCTATGAGAAAGGAAAGAGGACTGACAGGAAACGACATAGAGGGTGGGGGCGGACTGGAGTGAAACAGCCCGAGAACAGCAGGCGCTGCCAGAAGTGCAGGAGGCAGGGAAGCCCCTCCCCTAGCCCTTTAGAGGCTGTGCAGCCCTGCTGACACCTTAGATTCAGGAGTCTAGACTCAGGAATGCAGAGAGCACAAATTTCTGCAGCTCTAAAGCGCCGCCATTACAGCAGATATGCTTATAATCTCTACAGACGGAAAAAGATACAGTGCTGGTTCACTGATTTACGACAGATTCACCAACAGAATGGTTCACCAGCAACAGGCCAGAGAACAAGGCACAGTGTGGAGTGCAGCTCTGCTTACGTCTGGTGACCAAACCCAGCTGACTCACAAGTAGTCACATGCCTTGTGCTGACCCTGTGGGACACTGTTCTAGATCACACACCCAGCTGAGGGGGACAGCACCTGGGTGGACCCTGAAACCGAGGCTGAGCGTGTGCAAACTGCTCCCAGATGGCCCAACTTGGACAGCATTGCACGAAAAGTCGCCAAGCCTTGAACCCTACAAGTGGCCTTGCCTGAAGCTTGAAGCCAATTTTGGAAAAGGCCGCTGTGGCCCTAGTGAATGCCGACTGCTTGAGCCTCGAGGGAGAAAATAGAGTAATAAGCAGATGTTTCTTCAATGTAGCATGTTCTTGGATCCAGCTTTATTTTAGACATTTCTTCCTGCAGCTGTGGCGCTAAACCTGAAGACAATCAGCGCTTGGACACACACATCCAGGCCTTCTGCAGCCCGGGTCTTTTTGGGCAACACCTTTCCACGTGTGGACTGAGGAGACAGCTGTTTCTACCCGTATCTCCTGCAGACACTGTAACCTCAAATTCAGGGGCTGGGCCCAGGATCTTCCTGCCTCTCTTCCTGTGCTTGAACATCTGGGAAATATTGCCACTGTTTTGTTATTGTTCTACAAGGAGGTTTCCTATTGGCGGGAAATTCTTTTGGACCTCGGTCAGGCACCCCCTGATGGGTTCTCTGGGGCTGTACAGGAGGGGTGAGGGATAGATTTGGGTGACAGGCAAAGGAGAACCAACCAGCATACTGTGACATGACCGTTCAGACTTTAAACTACCCTTTGGGGGGGTTGCATTCCCTTCTCCAACAATTTCCTAGGGGTGTGCTTCTCCCTGAGCCAGAACCCCCACCTTTAAGTATTGTTGGGCTGCCAATTATGCACTGGAGGGGCTATGAGAAATCCTGCCACCTGGCCGTGTATGTGTGTGTGGAGGCCCCCTTCACACGGGGCTCTGGCTGGTGCCCCCACTGACATGTGAATCAGCTGGGCTTAGTCACCAAAAGAGAGCAGGACTAGTCTGCACAATTCTCCTCCCCACCAGAGGTGCAGGAGGCTCCTCACGCACCCTCCTCTCTGCACCCTCATCCCCTCCCTGAGCTTTAAACAAGCTTCAGGTGAAATCCGCTAGGCCTAAAACTAACCATTGTAAAGTGAACGATGCAGTGGGACTTAGTGCATTCTCCATGCTGTGCAACCTCCTCTTCTCTCTGGTTCCAAAATATTTTCATCAGCCCAAAAGGAAACCCTGAATCCCTTAGGCATTGTCCACGTGCCCTTCCCCCTAGCCACATGCAACCATCTGACCGTTCTCTGTTTCTGTGGGTTTACCTACACCCACAGAATCATACAACCTGTGTCCGGCATGAAGCCTGAGACCCCTCCCACAGCCACACTCAGGGTGCAATGGTTGGTGCGCACGCACCTGTCACCTGGCCGCTTTCACTTAGAATGTTCTCAAGGTTGGCCCACGCCGTGACAAGCATCTCTGTGAATATTCCCGAGTGGCTGTTCTGCATTTTACTTCTCCTTGCATCCATGTCTGGGCGCTCGGGGGCTTCCGCCTTTCACTGTTGGGAACAGTGCCGCGCTGCTGGGAACTCGTGGGCACACACGCTTGAGCACTCCCATCAGTCTTTGCACAGCAGCCGGGTCTAATCCCGTGACACTCCCACTACCTTGCTTCCATGGCTGCCCACCCCTCTTAGGAGGAATCCCAGCCTGTGGAATGTGACCTGAAGGCCCCTCCCCACTTTTCTAGCACCGCCTCTCACGCCATCCTGCTCCCCGGTCCACCTTCTGTTCTTGCAAGTGCTGCATGTGTCTGTCACCAAGCCTGGGCAGGTGCTCCTCACCCTTCCAGAACCTTCTTCCCCTGGCTAAGTGGCAGCTGCATCTGACGCAGTCACTTCCTTATCTCCCACATGTGATTACACACTAGAACCCAGCATTGGGCCACCGCTGGCCTGTGTGTCATGGGAAGAGCCTGTGGTGGGATTTGGAAGGCTACACTGCCCTTCTTTGTGAAATCCCACAGGAGTGCACAGAAGCACCTGAGGGAACCCCTGGATATAAATATCCTGTGTCCCTGAAACACACTCTCTTTGAAAATTTCGATGTGGCCATGTGGATTTATACCCTGGTGCCTGAAGACTGATAGGACAGACCCAGGCCAATCACTGTCCAGTGCAGCACTGTCATGCCAGCTGCTGACCCAGCCCTGATCGGCACACATGCTCCACCCTGGAATGTAGGAGGCATCTTTACTTTTCCTCCAGACTTGGTTGACACCCCACAGGCCTGTGAAAAGTGAGGCAGTGACTCCTCTGAACTCCGGCCCCAGAATCTGGTGTGACAGCTTTATGCCCCAGAGGAGCCAGAGGCAGGCACTGGTGGGGCTGCTGAGAAAGCAGGAACCCTCTGACTCACAGCAGTCACACCTGAACTTCACAGGCTACTGCGCAGCGCCAGATACAGCGTGCTCTGGGTCACACAGGATGTGGTTTCAAAGGGGGTGGGGTATCTATGCCTCTACCTTTCACCCACTGTTCCTTTCTTAGCTCTGGCTCTGAGCTTCTGCTCCCTGGGTCTGTAACCACCACACACGTACACGTGTACGGACATGCACACATACACACCCTCTTCTAACTTCTAAAAGTAAAACTAGTCTACCTAATCCCCCATATAGCCTTTGTCATTCTGTTTTTCCCCTTCAAATTCTCTATCATTCCAATTTCCACATGAGCATTTGGTAGAAACTGCTTCTGAAGACAGCAGAGCTCACAAGCTCCCCGCGACCACCTGCAAAGTCTTGTCTTCCTCCGCAGATGACAGGCCCCCTCTTGTGCGTTCCTGAGAGCCTCTGAGGAAAATGACCTGGTGCCTTGGGGGAACTCATCACTCACTCACCTCCAGGACTTTCCCTGTGATAAACTGGTGACAGGCTTCACACTTCACGCCGAAGAGCCCCTGGTAGTCCTTTTCACAGTACGGGGCACCATCCCTGCAAGACAAAACAGCCAGCTCCTGAGAAGAGGCAGCAGAGGACGGGGAAGACACCAAAACTGTATTTCTCTGAGCTCTTTTCCACGGAAGAGTAGAGCTTATTTCTCCTTTCTCCAGCATCCACACCCCTGGTGAAATGGTCAGATGCAATCAAAACCACACACCACAGAGAGAGTCATAGTGAGTAGAAGTCCTCCAGGTCACACAGAACAGCCCAGAAGCTACACGGTTACCATTGCTGGTTCCTTGGTGGTCTCAGAACTAACTACTAGAAAAGCCAGCATCAGTCCCTTTCACAGTGGGCCAGCATGGCTCAGATGTGGGCTCAGAGTTCATCCGCCCGAGGGACCCCGCTGTGCTGCTCTCCCACACCCTCTTCTTGGCCTTTGCTCACAGGCCTGACAGAGCCTCCCAGCAGCCTCCAGACATGTTCTCTTCAGCTCTCCTTAGCTCTGAGGTCCCAGCATCCTCTCCAGCTTGGTGACCTCCGTTTACTTCAGAGAACAATAAAAAATGCCATTTCCCACATGTTATAGCGTGGAAAAGTTCAGAAGCGATGCTCTGGACAGCCGAGATGCCCACTACTGCGCAGCTTGAAGACCATGCATTTTTCATCTCACTTTGGTAGCCCTCTCAGTCACCGGTGGAGCTATTTATTTTTCCTAACATAGGCTTGACCCTAGACCTACCATGAAATCAGATTTCTAGGCTGTGGAACCCAGGATGCTTCTTGGTTTGTTTCTCTATACGTGTAAATCAAATTCATTAATATTTAAAAATAAGTGATTTTGGGTGCTTGGGGAAATGTTTTAAAAGCATAAAAAGATGTAGAACAGGATGTTCTCCTTCATTTCCGGGGCGCATTAAAAACAGAAACAAAAAACCACCCAAACTCCACCTTCTCACTTAATTCTAGTGATCAGCCTCACGCACTCTCCAGCTTACGCATGAAGCCCTGCCATGGGGCTCAGTGCCCAGGCCTTGCATATGTTGGGGGGGGCGGTCTGCAAAGGTGCTCCTCCTGGAGGTGAAAGGTTTACTGGTCTCACACAGGGGGAGAAAATAGCAAAAGGAAAATTACTAAATGATTGATTGTTTACAACAAAGGGTATACTATGATGTCAGCTTTATTAACTATTAAATTAGGCAATGATGAACATTCTATTAGGGGTGTTGTAGTCAGATTATAGCAAAAATAGAATAAAAATTCTTTTAAAAAGTTTCATAGCAAAAGTACTTGGGGATGCAAATGTACTTCCACAGGTATGGGGGTGGGCACCCACAAGGGCCGTCCCCAGTGGAAGGACCCCTGTGCCCGGCCCGTCTTACTTGCTGATGTACTCGCCGGTGAGGACCTTCCCACACGATCTGCATTTGAAGCAGCCCAAGTGCCACTGCTTCTCCAGCGCCAGCAGCGCCTGCCCATTCTTGATGTCTCTTCCGCAGCCAGCACAGTCTGGAAGAGAGCAACCAGCAGCCGTTACTAGAGGTAACCTTTGCTAACCTCAGCCCCACAGCTCACCCTCCCTGACCCCCTATCACCAGGTACCTAGGCCCCATCTCATTCCATTTTCTTCCTCTGCACAGAAACTTTCATGCTCAAGGCCTTGGTTGATCCAGGACACGCGTGCCCAGCTGAGCACAGGGTGCTGGATGCCTCACTCAACACAATGTCTGAGATTCCTGGACTGCTGCATGTAGATCTCAGTTTTCTAAGTGGGACTCTACCCGCTTATCCACCTAAGCCAGCCTTTCCGAAGATTTCTCATCATCAATGAAATGGCGCTAGTTCCTTAGCTTCAAACAATCCTTGGTGGGCACCCAGAAAGGAGAGATGAGAAAGTATTTCATCCTGATGAAGAGCTTGGGCACTGGAATTATCCTGGGTCCTGCTTCATTCCTTGTTCTTTAACTGTGTGAGCCAGGAGGGTCACTTGTACTCTCTCAGCCTTGGATTCCTCATAAGGAGGTAGGGAGGGTACTGACACCCAGCTCAAGCCTCTGGAGGATTCAGTGAAATAATGGTGCAACATAGCACAGCGGCCCTATAAATGGTTGCTATCATAGTGCCATTATTTTTCTGAGTATTGAATAATTCTTTGCATAAGGGAAGCTGAGTAAATTTTTAAAATCCCGGAGAATGCAAATGTCCGCAAAGCAAATGCGTCCTCTAAAAGCATTCAAAATCTAGGTACCTAAAAGCCAAAGCAAGCACTCCCAGCGGGTTGATCATGATGTTCCCAACGACACATACAACACTCACAGAAAAAAGTAGCATACAGCCAAGGCCACCCCGTGGCTGTGAGAAGAACAAGTGATTAAACATCCCCCTCTTCTGACCACATCCATGACTGCTTCTCCACTCCCCAGGACATTTTGAGCCCAACTTCAATTTTCTGTTCCCACAGACACTGATGAGACCTCAGCACCCCACCTGCTCCTGCTTCTTCATATCACCCGAGGGATCCCTGCTCCTGCTTCCTGGGGCCTCGGCCAGGGCCCAGACAAGCTCAGATCCTGAAAATCCTCCCCCACACTTCATCCACAGAAGGCTCCCCACTTTCTGGCTTTTCTCCCAGCTGCAGCTAGTTGAGTAAGCCTGACTTTTTCTTTCGACTCGAAGTGTGTTTCTGATGATCTTGGTCAGTGGGTGTGAACTCTCTTTGAGACCTAGAAATTTCATGTGTGAGTGTGTGTGTGTGCACGTGAGCTCCTTGCAGGATTTCTGCAACAAGAGGAACTGAAAATAACCATATGGATATCGGCGATGACTAGCTAAATGAATTACAGCACAGTCAATAATGGAATACTACGTGCTGTTAAAAAGAATGAAGTAGGGTTGTGTGCAGACATGGAATGATATCCAAATAGAGCAAGTGTGAAAAGCAAGCTGTAGAACAGCATTTGTGGCATAAGCTCATTCACTGAAAAATAGTAAAGGGTGTGTGTGTTTTGTAGGTCCAGAATGGGAACATGAGAAATTCTTCAGAAACTTCCCTCTGAGGAGGAGGACTTCATTTTTACTTCACATATTTTGCATTGTTTGAATTTTTTTAAAACCATGAGCACAGAAAATAAATATTGAGTAACTATATATGTATAAAGTTAAAATATAAGTTCTGAATATCACAGATTAGAATTTCTTAAAGTATAGCCCACTGCAAGCTAAGTATAAGATGATCACAAAATACTAAGCATTTTTAAAAAGACGAATGTGTGTACACAGCCTAACAGTTTATAAAAAATATAACGAAATATCATGTCTAACATTTTACTACAAAGATCAAAATGTGGAGGCCATATTTGTTTAAAAATAATTTGAAGGATAGGAACACCGCATAGACTTCAGATATACGGTTTTGATTCGGTACATTTTTTTCAACAGTTCTATGTATCTTTAAAATTGCTTTTGTGGGATCATCTTCTTGCCCAATAACTTTGTCAGGCAAAATTATTGACCTCATAGGAGCTGAAGTCAGTCAGCTTTTTGGTGAACTTACGTGAACTTTGGTGAGCTTAGAAAATCTGAACTCTTCTTTGATCTAAAAACTTATCTTTGGGGTAAAGAGTTAAGTGTCCAAAGGTTGTCACAGTTCATGAGGTCAAAGGGAGCTCGCCTCATACCTGGACTCTGTTTGTCCACAGCTGACAGATGCCAGCAGAAGTAGATTTCAGTTCTGCAGTGGACAGTGCAGGCAGGGCAAGGGACAGGGCAGGCTCGGGTTATTAAGGGACAGGCAACTGTATTTTAACCAGTGCTTGCTGGGGAGGGTGCTTAGAAGTCACTTCCCTTTCTTTTTTTTTAAATAAACTTTAAAAATGTAGTTTTTTGTTTATTAAAATTTGGAGAAAATGCCAATGTCTATAGACACAAAGAACCAGTTTCACTGAGGACAGGACACCAAGAACTCAAATTTTTTTTTCCAGTACCGGGAATCGAACTCAGGACCTCGTGCTTGCCAGGCAGGCACTGTGCCACTGAGCTAAATCCCCAGCCCCTCAAAGTTTTAAAAACATTTAACAATACAGATAAATTGGCTTTCTGTTCATGTTCCAATGGGGATCTGTTTTTGCTCAGGTGTACTATGTTGTATGTACGTGCATATGAATCTACTGAGTTTTATAAGGTTGAGAAAAGATGGCTAGATCTGGATTTTTGTCAATTTACCTCAGTAGAGGGCCACTAGAACTCAAAAACAAAACAAAACAACTATTTTTAGAGCAAGTTTAGGTTCACAGAAAAGTTAAACAGAAGATGCAGTTTCACTGTGTCCACCACCGCTAAAGTGGCACATTTTTAAATAACTGATGAAAGAACACTGACATATCATCACTACCCAGAGTCCACAGTTTACGACGTAGTTCAGTCTTGTCTAAAGGAGTTGGACATTCTGAGTGTGCCCAAGTCTATAATGACATATACCCAGAACTATACAGCATCACCACTCTAATCAGCTCTGTGCTTGTCTATGCATTCCCCCTCTCCCTGGCCCCTGGGACCGCTAAACTTTTTTTCATCTTCATCATTGTGCTGTTTCTGTGATTAGTTTTTAACCCAAGTTAGAGTGAAATTTTTCCTCCTGTCTCGTCAGGCAATTCCCCACTAGGTGGCAGCAAAGATTTAACTATTAAGGAAGACACGCTACCACAGAACTTAGAGCAGAAAATAAACTTTAGAGATGGTTTTGTAATTCTGCAAATGAAGACTGTTGAGCTAAGAAGAGCTGACGGAGCTGTCTGAGGTCTCCCCTTGCACGACCAATGAGGCTAGGGAGACGGGTGGCTGGAGAGTCGGGGGAGTTAGGGCTCAAGGGCTTTTGTGTCATTAAGATGAGCAAGTCACCCTCTCTCTCTCAATCTTCCTTCTTCACCTGTGAAATGCTAAAGATAGCTGCTTGCTAAGTTGTTCCAAGAAAGAAAAGTGATCCCTCACTGTAAGGTGCTTTCCTTTCCATCATGCAAGGCTGGAGATGGGTGAGGCCTTTGATAAGTTTCCCCCTTTCTTGCCTAGAGGGAGAGAGAGGATTCTGACCCAGGTTTCTTGACTCTCAGCTTTGACCTCTGACAGGCACTTCAGTATCCCCACATCCCAGAGGTACGAAAGAGCAGACACAATCTGCAGACAATGGCCACTTGGATCGGTCTGCACTGAGGGCTTTCTATAAGTCATCAGGTTCACACACATAGTACCATTGAGTCTTCAGAATCTCACTATCCAAGTGCCCTACAGTCTGGAGAACCCCTCTCGCCTCACATGTGGTGTCTATAGCACTCAGACCCTCTGCAGTGCTTCATCAGGGAAGGTGCTGTCCCAGTGTTTTCCAGGGAAGTGCTCATTCAAGCTGAATGCTTAGGGCCAGCTGGCTGGGAGTTGAGGCTGGAGTTAAGCTTCCTTTGTCCCAACCCTTCAGGCCCAAATCAAATGAACAAAAGAAGCCTGGGGTGTTCTGGTATATTCCATGCAGCTACCCATTCTACTCTGGACGAAGCCGTGTGCTCCACCTGAGCCTGCCATGATGCTGGGGAGAACGTGAAAGATGCTGAGACCCGAGATTTGTGCCTGGATGTTCACTCCTTCCATGCTCACTCTAGCTAAGCTCTTTTACACAGAACAAAACGTCCTACTTTCCAGCTTCATGTTTTTCAGCTGTTGAGAAAATTGTTTCCACATCACTGAAGCAGCTGCTGATAAATATAGAAAGCTGGTGATTGGCGCTGGAATTACCATCAAAGTCAGAAATAGGTGAATATTGGCATCAGGGAAATAAAACCTAAAAGCAACTTGCCAGTGTTCTACCAAGGAGAAAGGATGACCTAACGTGGAAACCAAAAGAAAACCCAATACTTTGCCCCAAATGCTTTACTCCTGGCACCAAGAGCCACAGCAAAGAAGGGATTTGGATCCTCACATCCAAGGTAAATTAATATCTACATTCACACCTGGTTCCATATTTACATCATCTGCTCAAGGGCAATAAATATCCTCAAAATAGGGATCCTACCTGCCTCCTTTCATCTATCTAATTGTTTGTGCCGGGGAGCATGGACACCTGGGCTGCAGAAGAATTTAAGCTGAAAAGAGGGACATAAGAGGTTTGGGGAAGGAAACCAGTATTTTCAAGCCAATAGGGATGTCAACTCTTGGGCAGTGCTTAGGGTCTTGTCAGCCTGGGTGTCTATATTCTCCTTGAGAATGATTTCTGTCTTCCTAGCATTTTTTTTTTTTTTTATATTCAGGAAAGGTAAGGGCCAAAAAGTTGTCTTCATTCTGTGCAGATGCCTCTCTGAGGAAGAGGGCTGAGGGCACAGAGCCATAGGAAAGGAAACTGTGTGGTACTTAAACTCCCACTCACTTTACCCCTCCCAGGTCTTTCTTTTTCAGACCTGTCCCAAAGCACTCCTGAAGGTGGGAACTGCTATTTAGAGCAGGTACCCATCTAGGAGCCAAGCTTCTGG